CAATATTTTTAACTTAAAAATCAATATTTTTTTGTTTTTTTTTTGCCAAAAAAAGTTTTTTTTTTTTTTTTTTTTTTTTTAGGAAAATTTAATAACTTCTGAGATTTTCTAGAATTTCAGAAATTCTCAAAAAAAATTTCCAGCAAATTTTCATCTTTTTAAACAGAATATTTCTTGATTTTTTTTTAGAATATTTCTGAGATTAATCTCAAAATTTCTGAGGTTTTTACTAGAAAATTTTCGACTTTACAAAAATTTTTTACTAGAAAATTTAATCTAAAAACTGAGTTGTTTTTTTTTCTAGAAAATTTTCAACTTTTGAAACACAGAAAGTTTCTTGATTTTTATTTTTCTACAAAGTTTTTGTTTTTCTACTAAATTTTAGACTTTAATAATTTATCTGAATTTGTCAGTGAAATCTGAATTACCGGATGTTTCTGTTCTGAACGAAGCCGTGACGTGGAAACGTTTGTTGTGTTAATGAAAGCTACATGCTAACATGCTAGCAAACATTAATCCAAACTCAGACCTCAAAATAATTAGAAAACGTTTTTTTGACTTCACAGAGATACTCAGTTTGCTGCAAGCGACTAAAAGATAAAAACATTTTTATGTATTTTAATTGTTCTGCATTTTCTAAACGGTTTTGCTCTGTAACGGCGAATGCTTTTATTTGGCATTTAATTTGTTTTAAGAGGCTAAAAATGTGCAGAAACTCCTGAGTTTTAAATGGAAACAGCTGAACTTTTCTTAGACGTTTTGACTTTCATACAAATCGTTTCTTCAGTTCTGACGATTAATCGGGTAAAAAAAAAATCAATACAGTGAAGGGCTGCCCTGTTGATTATTTTTTGTTTGCAATATGCAATACCATCACTTAATGCAAAATGCATATAATTTTTGTACAATTTTGGCTTAATTAATACTCTTACCATGTTGTTCTTGTGGCAAACTGCATTTTTTGAGTCTCTGTGCTCCAATTAACGATTAATCGATCACTAAATCATGATTAATCACGATTAATTGGGTTAGTCGTTTCAGCTTTAGTCCCATAGTGTGGGTTTCTGTGAAACTGCCTGAGGAGACGAGTCTAGGCTGCAGTGTAGAAAGATGAAATCTCTTCAATGTTGGTTTTTCATGTTTTACATGAAAATTTTCATTTAAAATTAAATCCTGGATGACTGAAAATCTGCGTGTTCAGAAACTCCCTTCAGATGCAGAGGAAGCAGATTAAACTCTAAACGTTGGTTTTGTTTCTCTATAATCTCTCAGCTTCACTGCCATGCATCGCTCAGTACTTAAGTAGAAAATAATTTATTTCCTTTTGTTTTCCGTGTTTCCTGCAGAGGTAAAACTTGTGTTTTATTATTTAAGTACCGTCTGTGTTAACGTGTTATGGCTGGTGACCATGCATACATCTCAGATATATCGTCTTTTTTTGTTCTTGTTTGCTTTTGTTGTATTTCTGTTTAATTTTATCCAGATCCAAACTCTTCGTTTGGTTCTGGAGTCAGAAATGTGTTTGTAGAAGGAAGACGTTTAACACGAGCTGAAATCTGGCTGGTGGTGTTTCCCACCAAGCGGCCATTTTGGGAGGACTATTTTTAGCGGCGGATTAACACGTTTTGCCTGGTGGCAGTGTGTTTCATTCAGTTGGGAATCTGCTTAAGAGAAATAAAGATATTTCTGATGGTTTTTATGTTTCTGAAAAACATAAATTCTTCTTTTAAAGAGACTTGATGTGTGAACAAAGTGATGTAATTTGTGTTAAATCAAACCAAATCAGCTCTGCGCAGTATTAACATTTAACGCTTTGTTATTCCAAAAGCATTTATCGTATTTTACGTTGTTATGTATGCTTTTTTTATTTTTTCATAGAGTCTGCAAATCAGTTTGTATTTTTTTGGATGCCCGGTATTTTTTTTTTTTTTTTTGGAAATATGTAACTAAGCGTTACTGCTTGACTGTTCTCCCTTTATTTCATCTAGATTTATTTTATCAAAGAGCCGATGTCCTGTATTGACTGCAGGCTTACTTCTTTCTATATTTGAAAAAAAAAATTAAATGTATGTTTAATAATAAAAAGTTGCAAAAAATAAAAAAAATCTAGAAAATGAAAAGACAATTAAAAATATATATTTATATTTTAAACTGCATGCACAAGACTGGGAAAGTCGTATTTAGAATAACAAATGGCAGTGCCTTTTTTGTATACTTGACACATCAACATCATGAAAAAGCAAAACAAAATCAATGGTTTTGTATCGATTTTTATGTTTCGGCTTTGGGAGGAATGACAGCTGAGTGGAGTTCACGTTCAGAAACAACCAATTTATTTAAAAACAAAACATCCAGTTTGGTTTTACGACTATATTGATTCAGTCCAAACAGTTTTCATTTTTGAGTTTGTAGTATTTTAGCATCTGCTAAATGTTTAACTTTATATGATTTAACTAAAAATACATTAATTCATTCATAACTGATGCAGTTTATCATTTTTAAATCAATTTGCAAACTCTTTGCCTCAATAATAAATCTTACTTCCAGCAGTTTTAGCACCTGAATATTCACAGAACTGGTTAAATTTCATAAACTGAACCTCCAGATTTAGATCTCTTGGATTATTTTTGTAATAAAATAATCCAGATGCGTACAGAAGTTTGAGTAAATGAGCCTGAACGTGAGCCTGGCTGCTTAAACTGGTTGGTACCTGTTGAATCCTTGTTGTCTTCACACACATTTTGGTGTGAAAACGATGAAATGAGAATTATTTTGATGTGTTTTGTACTTTTGCTGCGATGTACCAGAATGCTGTGATTTGGCATGCCCCCAATTTATATAAAAACAAATGAACAAAACGCCTCTGCTTGTGGTTTTTTTGTCTGATTCTGCAACGAAACATTCAGAACATCTTGATTTGGTCATGAAATCCTTTGGAAATTAGAAAAATATCTCTTCATTAAAGACATAAAAACACATTCAAATGTTGAAACCTGAGAAAACATCTCAGCTGTGGTTTTGATTTTGACCACAAGAGGGCAGCAGTGCGTTTACAACACCTGTGTGTCAGCTCTAAGCAAACATCTTACATTTACAACAAATTCAAACGGTAATTTATTTCACAAACTTAACATGTAAATCAGGAATAAAGAGTCATAATAAAACACACTCTCTGCTGTCACATACTTTTATTATCTTTGATTAAAAAGTTTTTAAAATGAGCACAACAAATAAACAAGGCCACAGAAACAGTTAAAGCGTTTTTTTTTTTTCCTTCTTCTTAGCATTCATCTTCCAGTTACACCATTACAACCAGACAGCGGACATCATGATGCACTGGTGTGCAAAGACACAAAACAAACTGGTCTTCACAGTGTCCATCTACCAGGATGGAAACTGAGAAGAAAACACACACATACATACAAATACATTTAATAAACCTTTCATGGACATTTTTTGGTTTAAATCCAGAGGCTGGTTGGCAGATAAAGGCAGTTCCTCACAAAGGAATAAAAAAATGTTTCAAGGGAAAATGTTGGTTCCAACAAGGATTCAGATATCTTTCTTTTACAAGCTTGACTTTAAAAATTGCTTTTGTTCTAACAATTGAGCTTTTGTTTAGATATGAGGTTTATAAAGTGTAAAGAAACAAAAGGGGGATCGACAGAGCCATGGTAGCCTATTAAATGTGTAAAAATAAAAAGATATAAATAGGCAGGAAATTACAATGCTTTTCTCAGAATAACATTTTTTAATTTAAAAAAATGGATAGCTTTCTATATTTATTTAGATATCACTGTGACCAAAGCGCGTCCTGATGCTAAATTTAGAAATTAGCATGTAGCACAGTTAGCTTATAAATAGACCATAAAACAACGGGAGCTACCTGAACGTGCTAATGCTAACACCCGGAGATAATTGCTGCGGTTTTTAACCTTAATAAAAATCCCCGGGGAATTTAAAACATCAGACATTTCGGAAGTTAGGCGGCTCGTCTTCTCAACATCATCTATGGGATTTTAAAGATTACTATGAGACGACGTTCTGACGCCGATATAGAAATTAGCTTGTAGCACAGTTAGCAGGTAATCAGCTGAAGTTGAACCTTTTCAAAGGTGCATTGCAAAATAGATTTTAACTGAATTATTTGCACTGATCACTTTTAGAAAGTCATCATGGAAGCTGTTACAGATGACAAAATGTTTATTTTTATCTACTTAATTCAGGGATGTCCAATGTGTGGCTCGCGGGCCATTTTCTGCCCTTGTGATGATTTTGTGTGGCCCTTGACCACAATTCAAGGATGGTTTAAATTTGGTTTGCTAACTCAGGCAGTCGATACAGATAAACATGTAAAAGAAAATGTTTGGGGTAGGGTGAAATTTTAATGATGGGAGGCATTTAAAAAAATACAAATAAAAATCGTAAAATGGAGAATGTAAGGTTCAACACAAAGTATTTATCTTTTTTTTTTTCCATTTAATTTGAAAGTAAATATGACCATGACATCATATGTTAATTGAAAACCAGATTGGGCGTAGCCATTTATTAAATTTGGCCAAAAAGAAAATGAAATGTGACTCACATCCTGCTCTTGTTGATGAAAATACACGTGCAAAATTCCAGACAAATGGTAAGTGACCTGTACTTGTGCAACTTTTATCTAGTCCAGAGGACTAGAAAGCGCTCAACATTACATTCAGTCATTCACACACACACATATTCATACACTGATGGTGGTAAGCTACATTGTAGCCCTGGGAGCGGGAGCTTTGACAGAAGTGGCCCTCTGACCACCAGGGAGAAGGGTCTAGTCTAGTCCAAGGACACAACAACTTTTTAAAAATTATTTTCAAATATAATGTATATAAAATGGATGGATGGAAATAATTGTAAAAAAAATTGGCCCATGGTAAAAACTTTAGCATACTTTTCTTGTAGCATTGCTCACATTAGCATAACTAGCATGTACCTTAATTGTCATGTAGGATAGCATTAAGCTAATTAAAATTAGCATAATTTACAAGCAGCACAGTCAACATTGAACTAAATTAGAATGTAATGTAGTTAGCAGCTAGCATGATTAGCATGTAGCATGCTACAAATAAACATAGCAATACTCTATAAATATAGAAGGTCACAGATTTATATTTTAATGGATAAGTTTAATTTAAAATCAATAGTTTTGTTTTTGTTAATTGTTCACTGCCAGCAGGTTTGTACTGATGTGGATGTTTTAAGACCTGTTGGCTCTTTATTTAAAAATGTTCATGTTAAAAGGTCTTTTTTAGCTATAAACAGCATTAAGCTAAATGAAATCAGCATAATCAGCAAGCAGAACAGTCAATATTGAACTAAATTAGCATGTAGTGTAGTTAGTTAGCATAAAACTAGCATGTAGCATGCTAAAAATTATGACTAGGTCTTAAAGCTACAAGTAAACAGCAATAGTTTTAGATATGATTAAAGTGTCAGAGCTACAGTTATTTTATGTTGTCAGTAAAATATTCTAATTAAGATTTATTAATATTTTCATTTAAAATCAGTTGTTTTGTCTTTTTTTGTTTCTACCAGTGTAGATTATCCAAGCATTGTTGGTGCATCTTTAAATGTTCAGATTAAAGGTGTTTTTCTACTTTGAAAGTTATTGTTAATCTGCTTATTTATTGGTTTATTGAAATATTTTTATATGTGACTTTTTATGTCGATTATTCAAAAACTTGAATGTGTTCTCAAATGATTTCTTTAAAACTTTATGAAATGCCCTCAGTGACAATTCCTGAATTTACATTCAGGACTTAAAACTGCAATTTTGATGTTTACAAAACAAAATAAAACGTTTCTTACAGGAACAACGGACAAATATGAATAGATTACGTCGAAATTATGCAAAAAAATAATCAATTAATTAATTTTTCTCAGGACCAGTTTTCAGGAAAAGCTCAGGTGTCTGGTGGCCGGCAAACAAAAAAACCTGCAGGGTAAAATCTGAGAATAATCGGGTCAGTCAGCGGCCTGAAGGCGACGCTCCGGCTCATTGGGTCATCAGAGTGAACAATAACATGGAGCAAACACCTTTCACTGCCTTCGGTGAGACGGAAACACACACACACACACACACACACACAGCGGCACGGCAGGTGGGCCGAGCAGGTGGAGGTAACCCCAGGCAACAGGAGGAAGAGGAGGTTCTTCGTCTTCAGCTTCGGATGAGGGTCAGGAACTCGTCGCGGGTTTTCGGGTCTTCCCTGAAGACGCCCAGCATGGTGCTGGTGACGGTTTTACTGTTCATCTTCTGGACGCCTCGCATCACCATGCACATGTGGCTGAAGAGACGAGCGGAACGGCGCCGTTACGTCAAGAAACACACAGAACAACATTTAAACCTGCAGAAAGGCCAGCGCAGGCCAAGATGGCCGCCGCAGCCGGTGAGTCTGGAAACGATTAATAATCGTTACTGAGATAATCGTCAACTAATTTAGTAATCAATTAATCACTAACTGGAGTAAACAGACTTATTATTTGAGTCCAGGGCTGAAATGGTTAATTATATTAATTGTGATTAATCAATTACTGAAATAATTGGCAACTAATTTAATGATTGATTAATGGCTAACAGACTTATTGCTTGAGTCTAGGGTTAATCATGATTAATTGGTTTTTAATCATGACATTATTGAAATAATGTCAACTAATTTAGTAATCAATTAATTGTTAAATCAGTATAATTGATAGAATAGTTGATTACTAAAATAATTACCTACTTGAATCTGAATATTCACATTTTAAACAGCTAACATCAGAGAAGCGGCCAAACATAACATAATACATTATAACAACATGAGGAAAATTATATTGTTATAAATGAAATAATTTGCCAGTGGAACTAACTTTTTTTAATCAATATTTAGGAATTATTGACTTAAAACAATAAGCTATATCTTTCTGAAAAGTTACTTGTAAGATAGTATTTTTAAAATAAGATAATACTAAGATATTTTCACTACAAACTAGACCAAAAATTTGGTAAGATTTTGTGTTTTTACAACTTTTCAGCTGGAAAGAGACGGATGTTTTTCTTTAAAGCAAGATTAGAGATAACTGTACAAATAGAAATAAAAACTAATGCAACCTGCAGATTTCTCCATAAGTTCATAAAATAATTTATTGTTGTAATCATCTGTGACTTCTGACTGTAAAAATCCTGATTTCAACATGACCATTATCTGAGTAAGCAAGGAGAGGAGCGCCCTCTGGTGTTTGTGAATACAAACTGCAGGCTGCAGTCAGAAAGCGCGTTTGGTCCATCTTATAAAGTTGAAGATTATGGTTTAAACGTGACTAAATTGATAAAGTTTCTGCGTCCGTAGAGAGATACATACGTTGCCTCGACAACGACTCCGACCCCAGTGGGCTGCAGGGCCTCGGTGATGGCAACGGCAATCTGTTTGGTCAACCTCTCCTGAACTGGGGAAGCAAGAGACAAACGGAGAAACAAACAGATCAAGGACAACAGGATCTCAACTTTGGTAAATGAAAAATCTACAAATGTGCCAATTTTTTTTATCCAATTGATCGATTATCACAGACCACAACACAATAGAAGAGTATTATAATAAATAATGCTTGTAAGTAATTAATAAATGATTTAATAACTACTCATTTTATTAGCTTAAAAGTCAAAATAACAGAGATAAACATGTAAATAAAAGCACCTTGTAGTCGACGACTGTAGATTTCAACAATCCTAAGAGGAAAGAAGAAAGGTCAATAAATCATTTGCTTATTTAACTATAGCCGATAAATCGGTGATGATGAAAGGTTTATTTTTATTTTCATCATATTTATACACCTAAATAGAATATTTAATACAGCCACAAAAATGTCAAAGAATATTTTAAAGTTTAAAAAA